AATAACAATTTCGTCTAGATGGCTGCCCTCGGTTATAATAATTAACGGTCGTATTTGATTCTTTCTGTTATCCGGATGAGTTTGGTGTTGGCCTATAATGGCACTGTAGCAGTAAGTACTTTAACTAGAAGACTTTAGTATTAAATAACTAAGAGCCGCTTTCATATTGTAGCCCCTGAAGAAGAAAATAAACATTTTCGAAAGCTTGGTGTAGCACAAAAGCCTTTTATTTGAGCCCTCATCAGGACCGATACCCCAATTAACTAAAATTTGTTGTTCAACTAGCCGGTCACGACTACCGTTTTGTGTATTTTACAGGAATGGGATTTTTCCAATCAATAAAAGCTCGATATGGAAACGAAGCAGTTTCACTGCTCAAACAATGGGCCAGGCTCGGCAGCAAACTATCATCATTTGGAAACAGGAAGATATTCTTACTCAAATGCAGACAGACAGGGATCATACCAAGACACATTACAGACGGGACCAGAAACTTGGGCATGCTTTTGGATTTGACCGATGGACATATGGGGGACCGCATTCGGGATTTCAATACCAGGTTGAATAACAAATTAATTAATTTAGAAATATCACTCACTATTTCAACTATCAATCGTATAGAAAAATCACTGAAACAAGTAAGAGAGAAAGTTTTGACATTGATTCCGGGTGATGTTGTTGACGAATTTGGTAAAAGACAACAAGGGTCATGTGATAAAAAATTCAAAACCATCAAAAAAAAGAACATAAACAAATTTCAAAACTTGAAATCGCAACAGCATCACTTAACAATCAAAATACAAGATAATTGGGTTAAGAATATTTCAGAGGTTGAGGTCCCGGATGATGTCTTGAGGTTTCTCTCTTTAGGTTCGAAATTTTCCGCGCCACCAAGATGCAATGAAATCTCAGTCAAACGTTTAATTGCTGATGTAGAAACTATAATTAAAGTTGTACCAGAGAACGCAAAAAATACTGTAAGAGCTAAGTTTACTAATGTATTGACTAATTTTTTAAAACAACCGGCAAAGCGTAGCTATATAGACATTTTGTTAAAAAAGACAAAAAAATTTTTTAAGGATCACGCTGAGTTGGTCGTTTCTAGGGCCGATAAAGGGAATGTGACAGTTATTATGTCTAAAGATACATACATTCAAAAATCAAACGAAATTCTGATGGATCGGACCTATTACGAGCGTCTCAGATGCGATCCTACATCTACTTACCAACAAAAAGCTAACAAACTTGTCAAATCATTAAAAGATCAAAAACAATTAACAAATGAGGTAGCCAAAACTTTAAATATATATAATCAAACTTGTCCTAAATTTTACGGCTTACCCAAAATACATAAACCCCAATTGTCCTTAAGACCGATAATTTCATCAATTAATGCTCCGAACAGTAAACTGGCTTCATTGTTGACTCAGGTTTTAACCAAAGCATATAATAAGAATAATGATTATTACACAGGTGATTCATTTGAGTTTTCTTCATTTATCAATGACAAACAATTACCTAATAAGTATGTTCTTGTGAGCTTGGATGTCGTCTCTTTATTTAGTAATATTCCATATAATTTGGAAGAAAAAAGTATAAAAAAACATTGGAACAGAATTAGAAACCACACTGATTTGTCACAAATTAGTTTCCTAAAGATACTTCAGTTTGTCTTTGATACAACGTATTTTAGATTTAACAATGAATTTTACAAACAAAAATTAGGTACACCGATGGGTGCCATCATTTCTCCAATATTAGCTCAATACGTTATGGATGACCTACTTGAGGTGTGCGTAGATAAGCTGTCGTTTCAGTTACCATTTCTGAAAAAATATGTGGATGATATAATTACTTCCATACCTGAAAGTTGCGTGAGGGAAACTCTCACAGTGTTTAACAGCTATGATGCACACATACAATTTACAGTAGAGGAGGAAATTGATAAAAGCGTACCATTTCTGGACACTAAAGTGATCCGGAACAACGATAACAAAATTATATTAGATTGGTACATAAAACCGACCAGTTCGGGGAGATATATGAATTTCCACTCTTACCATACAACGAAAACAAAAATAAATTTGGTCATAGCATTAAAGACACGAATCGAGAGGATTTCTCACCCATCACTAAGACAAAAAAATCTTAATAAGCTTTACGACATGCTGATTAACAACTCATACCCAAGTAGGTTGACTAAAAAATTGTTATATAGCACGACCCCACTAAGAGCTCCAAACCCGCGGAACACTGTCGTCCACTCAGATAGCCCAGAAATGGACGATCAGAGATGTTTTTATTTTTCATTGCCATACATTAAAGAATTAACGACCACACTCACAAAAATTCTGAGAGCACAAACAAATATTAAGATAGCATATAAACAAACAAAAACATTGGGGAGTGTCTTTAGCAAACTAAAAGATAAGGATGAGGTACAAAAGAATTCAGAAGTAATTTATAGCATCCCCTGTAATCAGTGTGATCAGGTATACATAGGACAGGCATCGCGAGTACTTAAAGATAGAATTACGTCACACAAGAGTGATTGCAGACTCAATAAGAACACCTGTTCATTAGCAACACACTCTAACCAAATGAATCACGATGTTAACTTTGTTGAAACAAAAATTCTCCATAAAGAAAGCAACTACAACAAAAGAGCAACTTTGGAAATGGTGGAGATCTTCTTGGAACCGAAATCGGTCAATAAAAGATCTGACATTGATGGCCTCAGTGTGATCTACTCTAATGTCTTAACTTTACAACCGACCGTCAATCGAATTGCGTTTGCTGATAATAGTGTCGTCACAATGTAATTATAATTTAGAAAAATAGTCCCAAGCCTCTATACATTAGGTGCCTTGTAAGCAAAAAGGAGGTAACAAAAGGGAAAAAAAAGAAAGGAAAAAAACTGGACGGCTGGCGGTAGTCGTACGAATAAAACCTTTCCATCATTTGCGTTTTGCGTTTGAAGTAAAATTCGTTTAAATAAAATGTAATAACAATTTCGTCTAGATGGCTGCCCTCGGTTATAATAATTAACGGTCGTATTTGATTCTTTCTGTTATCCGGATGAGTTTGGTGTTGGCCTATAATGGCACTGTAGCAGTAAGTACTTTAACTAGAAGACTTTAGTATTAAATAACTAAGAGCCGCTTTCATATTGTAGCCCCTGAAGAAGAAAATAAACATTTTCGAAAGCTTGGTGTAGCACAAAAGCCTTTTATTTGAGCCCTCATCAGGACCGATACCCCAATTAACTAAAATTTGTTATATATATATATATATATATATATATATATATATATATATATATATATATATATATATATATATATATATATATATATATATATATATATATATATATATATATAGTAAACGTGTTTATTTTTAATGGAACACCCTGTACGTCTGTTAATAATTTAATTGGGTTTTTGTTAGCTTTTCAAAAATGTATAGCACATAAGAGCTACTTTAAATGCATTCAAACACACCATGCATCAATAGTTTATGAATAGGCCATAAAAATTATAAATTTATTAATAAACTATATATACAGTGTTTCAAAAAACGTGTGTCATTGCTAAAAAGAAGATTTCACAAGTAGTTATGAGACTTTTTTCATATCAACATTACGATTCTGCTTCGTTATGTAGCTACAGGGTGTTAAAGAATTTATATTTTCTTACTCCGAGATTATCCAAAACGACTGTGGCACATCCAATAAAATGAGGAGGTTCAAAATTATATAAACTAGTACATATCTTACTACAAAACAAGTTAGGATAACTTGCCAACGTGTTGGCATCGCTGCAATATTTTTATAAAAAAAAAACTGCGCGCCACTGACTTTTCTATTCTTTTATAGCAAAATTGAAAAGGCTGCTTAGTGTCTGTTAAAAGCTACCTAAAAACTATTGCAGCCATAGCTCACTAGCCAAGTGGTCCAAACTCTTTTTGTAGTTATACATGTATTAATTGAAATAACTTTTACCCTCGAAATTTTAATGGAATTGCTACAGTCGTTTTAGACAAATTTGGACAAAAATTCTTTAACGCCCGAAAGGAAGCAGAATCGGGAGGATGTTGATATTAAAAAAAAATTAACTTAGAAAATTTTTCATACACCCAGGCTGTTCCGAAAACAGGCACCATTGGATGGATTCCTTGTGGATGTTCGGCCTATTCTTATATATTGAGGGGATTTTTAGGATGTATATTGCAACAGAATGAACAAAACTGAAGTACAAAAATTAAATTACAACAAACGCAAAGCCAATTTTTTCAAACGAAATCACACCATTTTTATAATTTTATTTGATTTGACTTTAAAAATTAAGGTAACTTTGTATAAGGTTGTCTGTCCGTTAAATTTACAGTTTCCGAAATAATTGACCATTGACAAAATCATAAACATGAGGGGGCTCCATTTAAAAACATTAACTCACTACGTTTTTTAATTTTAAAATGAAATAATAAAGCTCCCTTATAGGAAAAATTTTTTATTATGGCGGGTCCTGCAAACGTCATTTTTGAGACGAAGATACATTAAATATATCTAAAAATTTCCGAGAATCCAAAAGTGTAATAACAATTTTTTAATTAATTAATTTCTACATCGATTGGCGACACCCTTCAAACACTTCCAAAGTCCCTTCGAATTAACCTAGAAGTTAATGGGACTCCAGAACTGACCACCGAGATCACGTGATTTACCGGATTTTCACTTCTGGAGCCCCAAATTTTGATTGATGTAAGCACTACTGCGCCCTAACCATTTTGATAAACGGTTAACCATAAGAACGGCAATTCAAAATAGGAAAATTGATTTAACGCGTACTGGTTCCCAAAGTGGTTATGTTCAAAGTAGAAAATTTTTTTTTATTTTAATATACTATAAAATGGACATGAACTGAAATTTTGGCCGCTCTAGAGGGCATCCAGAATGCCGCCCCTCCTGTAGAAGGTCAGCAACTCCTTTAGCCCAATACCGTGCACTGAGTCCGGATCGATCAAGCCCGTTCCGAAGACTCCCAATCTTGCCCATGTCAAGGCAGGGCACTCGGTGAGCAGATGATACGGGGTCTCCTCCCCTTCCATGCACCACCTACACTCCGGGTCGCATGTCAAGGCAGGGCACTCGGTGAGCAGATGATACGGGGTCTCCTCCCCTTCCATGCACCACCTACACTCCGGGTCGTCTCCAATGCCTAGCAAGCAGAGATGCCTCCTAAGCCTGCAATGTCCTGTGTAGGCCCCTGTTAGTGCTCTACACTCCCTCCTGGTCAGTCTAAGCAGCTCCCTGGTCCGAGGAAGGGCGGGCCCATCCATCATAAGCCTCGCCTGCCTCATTCCCGGAGCATCGCTCCAGCTCCCCGCGGCCCGGTCTCTCGCCCAGGCTTCTAGAGCTCCCCGCCTCACACACGGGGCGATCCCCAAGCGGGGCTCTGGCCCTATATGCCTATGCGAGGACCCCTCCCTGGCTAAGGCGTCCGCTGCCTCATTGCCCCGGACACCGGTGTGACCCGGGACCCAGACCAACGTGACCTTTCTCGGCTCTTGCTGATGTAATGGATCTTTAACGTGTTTTTAGAGAAGAAGAAACGAAAGAAACCTAGAAAACTAGTACTTGTATACGGCGCTAGAGTGGAATATCGAAAGATTTCAGTGCCAGAGCACCTTAATTTAGAAATTATTTTATCAGGTGTTGAAAATGTCCACCATTAACTTCTTCACAATATTAACATTAATCAAGATATTTTCATTAATTCGCGTTATTTCATATGTAATTCTATTTTTAAATGATCTAAATTTTGTGGTTTTTCTTATACACTTTTGATTTTAAACATCCCCAGAGGAAAAAATCCAATGGTGATGCAGATCTTTCAGGTCATACAATCGATCCATTTCTACCAATCCACCATTGGAGAAATACCATAATTTGAGTATCTGGCCTCCTTTTTATGAAATTCACAAACACCGAATCGAGGCTGTGCAGAACAAATTTTAATGGTATTTTAGGTATTGGATGGGCCAGAGAGGTTTACGAATGGAGCTCCTTGAAGTGGGTGGCTTCATGGAGTGGCTATTCCAGATGACCATAGAAAATTTCTGGATCTATGTTTTTTCCTTCGTGTGATAAATGGTGTTATTGATTCTCCTTGTATTCTTTCAAGTTTTAATTTTCATGTCCCTTCTAAAGAATTGAGAGAGTCTCCTTTTGTCTCCTGTACTGAGTAATATTCGACATGCTCAGAATATATGCCTTTAAATAGACTGGTCTCCTTTGTAAATCAATAAAATACCACTGATTACCTCAGTATTTTGTTAAATTGATTTTTAGTACTAAGATTTTTTATCCTTATGTTAAATAATAATGTATCAAATGGTGTGCCATCTGAACGATATATAGCTTTTACTGTCCATAGTTTACTTTCTTTTTGTTATTATACCCTAGTTTAAGTTACTATAAGTTAATTAATATTTTAGATACATTTGTAAAATAGTGTCACTTTTGAAAGAATAAATAAATAAATATGGGTCGCAGCGCCATTCTGTCGACATCAAATCTGACAAACCAGAGTGATTTAGATTTAGGAAAGAGCAGGAATTAAGTCATTTTGAAGAAATTGTAAAAATCAAGCTTCCATAAGATTTTGATCTAAGAAATAAGGTACAATAATTGTATTATTCAAAATCCCTGTCCAAACTTTTTTTTGTGGATGTTGAGTATGCTGTAAAATTATTTATTACACTCAATATTACAGTTACATATTTTTATTTCAGGAGTATTATTATCCTTTGGCCAAATTATTATAATTGACTAACCTGTTTTTAGTTTTTCTAAAAAAAACTTGTAACAACCAAAAAAATATGGAAGAATCTGTGTAATTCCAAATTAAACATATAGACAACATTTATAGTAAAATATTCCACTAAAAGTACTCACCAGCCTGTTCAGAAAGCTTTCTTTTTAATCAATCAACCATACCTCCTAAAGTTTTAACCATTTTATGCAATAAATGTTTGGCATCATGGAGTTTTTTTTATTGTAGTTGCTTGATTTTTGGAATGTCTCTTAACCAGTGCTATAACCCATTTCGCTCTTGGTCTTTTTTCTTGGGATGTGGAAATCTCATTAATGTATCTTGGTTTAGAAAAACGTCTCCCTTTATGGTTTGTTCTGTGACATTCTATAATTTATTTTAATTCAATCAAAATATACATTTTTTAGTAGGTTTGGTTCTTACCATCACAACAATTGAAAGGTAAACTGAAAATGTCTTCTGGTATAGCTCCTAATTTCAGTTTATATTTTGTTGAAAGTGTGTGGCTTATGATAATTTTCTGGTCAAACATGTTAAGAACATATGAACAAATTCGTCAGATTATCCCTCAGAAGTAGATCACACACTTCTATCCATTGCTTTTTAATGGCCTCACGTAGAGGAAAACTGAAACATAAAAAATTATTTTACTTTCATTGATTTGCTGAACAACTTTAAATATACCGGCTTCTGGTGACAGATTAAATCTTGGTCGTTTGGAAATAAAGAAGTAGGAACAATTTTACTATCAAATAAACTCACCTATATGAAAATTTTTTGGATCGAATTTATAGTTACACAAGAAACATCCTCTAATGGACATTTTTTACAAATATCGCTCAAATTTTAAACCGCTAAGCGCAACCCACGAAAACTTATAAAAGACAAAAATATCAAGCATAGATAAACACAATATATTTTATCAATGCCACCAGAGTCTAGCCAGTGATCAAGAAACGCCTTAACGAACATAGAGCTTTAAAAAGAATAGTCTAGATTCTAATTATGCTAGACTTAAACACAGAAAAACACATTTTTGACGACAATTTTTATATTTTACATACAGCCACAAAAAGCAGAAAATTAAATTTATTGGAAGCCATGGAGATTAACAAAATGAGACATTCAAATGTATTGCTTAACGATCAATTAGATTTAAATACCACTCCTTTATTGAACTTAAATTCTCACATATATATATATATATATATATATATATATATATATATATATATATATATATATATATATATATATATATATATATATACACACACTAGCTTTAGATGTTTGTGGTTTGTATAAATTATATAGTTGGAAGTGGGTCAAAATACTTGTCTTTCGACGATATGGTATAATTTACTCTGCAAATATTTCCTAATAAGTAAGTTATTTTTTGTTTCTTCATTGGGAATAATTTTATCCATATATTTTTCATAAAACAAAATAGCCTTCATTTACCAAGTCTACCATTAGTAAATAATTAAATCCTGTAATAAACAATATTGGTTCTAGGAGCAGGTGGGAAGGTTCATTTAAACACGTGCCAAAAACAAAATAAAGTTTTATAAATATTGTCTGCACAACTCTACAATAGATTTGTCGTTCTGATGCTCTGCAGCTCTGAATGCCTGGCATACAATTAAGACATCCCTTGATCGATTTGCCCGAATCCATACTTTTCCATTAACACCTACAGCTACCTCATATGGAAACTTTTTCCCCAATATCCGTAGCAACGGATTTTCAATATTTAGTAAAGAGTGTACCAATTTTAGGCTAATATTCATAAGAAAACCGTCATTGGAAAGTACACCCAGTCGGCCAGCTTTGTAGTATGCGTCAATACACACAAGTTCAGGTTCCATTTCCTTACGAGCATTTAATACTTTCGCGTAAACCGCATCACCCACTTGAACGTCGGGTTTTTGTTTCTTAGTGGCCCCTTCAAAAGCCAACATAGATAATGATGCGGTTTCAGCACTACCAATGTCAACTTTTAGTTGATCTGTTGATTTTTTTACAACTACACCCACAACGAGATCGCCTCTCTTGGGAATATATCGATTCCGATTTCCTTCAATCCAGAAAGTATTCGGTGGCTTATGATGAAGAATACCGGCCAGCGATACCACTAAAGTGTTGGGGTCGTCTTCGTTTCGTCGCAGTCCTGGTCCTATAATGGTTTGTTTGTCTTTGGATTTTACATCTTTGATTACTTCTCCGGGAAAATAAAAATCTCCTTTAATTACAGACTTCATGAAACCAAAATTAAATTAATTAACTGTTTTAAATACTACTCTAACCTATTACACACAGCCACAGAATCCAACAACTTGGTTTAGTATTCTGTGATATAGCGAGTGTTCCACTACCATGGCCACTGCGCTACACCAAGGAATACCTTTGTGGTGGAAATAGTATTTGGCCAGCCGGGGTTCGTGGCTCCTAATTTTTATTACGATATGTAGTTTTAAATGGCGTTAAATTCGAATATCGACTCATGCATGTACGTACTTTTCGTACAATAATACTTGGATATTGGATTTGAAATTTATATTCTCGATTTTTTCTTGATACTAATGATATACAAATAATTGAATTGTTGTTTCTTAATTATCGGAATTTTATTTAATCTCCTATAACATTAACAAAAATAATATTCAATAAGTAACATACTATATAACTTACGACCGCCTCTTATATTGTAACGGTCACGGACCAAGGATAGTCGTGACGCAGACTTTTGAAAACTGTCAGTCGTCAGATTGGTTATCGTTTCCATGGAAGTTTTATTTCTTTTTTGTTATTGTTTCTTCATTATGTAACGTTTGGTTTTGTTTTTTACATAAATTTGATTAAACACGAGTATGTAGTGCGACGAGTTGTCATTCCCATCAAACCCCGTTAAAATATATTAAGAAGTTGCGAAATAACCCTACAGTATATGTCCATATGTGTTGGTTAATGTATTGGGATCTTAGAAACTATTAGAAAAAAGGTACAATGGAGAAAAAATTATTAAAGTCAATTTTTGAAATTCAAGTTAATAATGTTTCCCTTTTTTGAACCATCATCAACTTTATTTTCCAAATAGAACCTGGATTTTTTAATATATTCTTATATCCCAAAACCATTGATGTATTGTACTTATTAGAGAGCTTTATATCTTTGTTACTTTTTATATGAAATTAATGTGCAAGAGAGACAGGACATGCTTTCTTTGACACTTTTTCCAATAAGTGTGATACTTATTGGTTTTGGCAGAGCAGAAGTTCTTAAAATCCAAAATTAAAAATCCGGGTTCGAATGGAAATGTTCTGGAAAACCAAAAACCAACCAACAAAACCAAGAAAGATAAATTCGTACACTGATCTAAAACTTTTTCTATAGTAGTTTCCAAGTTCGTAATACATTAACGAAAGACCAAATCTGGACGCACTGTATCCCTACAAAAACTTCCAATATTTAAATACGAACTACAAACTTTTAACCTAAAAATTACAGACCACATCAGTACATACTTATAGAGAAAGTAGTATTCATGGCATAATAACAATTATTATGCTTCTTAAGGTGCACAGCCATAATTTTGTGCACATATCCCTCTATATGTTAAATATCTGCATATAAGTAAAAAAAAACTAAAAAACAAAAAATCCCATTTAAACATATAGAAAAAATATTTTGGAAAACCTACTTACCTAAGTTTCTTTGTATCAGAAATTGGGAAATTTAGCTTTCTTTCATTGATTTAACCGCGGCCAAGACTGGGGTTAGAGAATTTATAACATTTTGTACTACATCCAACTTTTCATGCGAGTTAGAACTTGATAAAATTTCATGATACCTTTGAAAAAGATGCTGTTTTCGGTCTTCAATTGATGTATCTAAAAATATAATTATGTCAACCATGAAGAAAAATATTACCTACAATCTACTAAAATATTATGTAAAGGGTGGGCCGTTTATCTTGGGACAGACACTACCTATCTCCGATACTATAGGGGATAGAGCCAAAAGTTGTATCTAATTTTTCGTGAGCGAATACCAACTTTCTTATTTTAAATGGAACACCTAGTATATTACTTCATTTTTAAATATTAAACAAAATTGCAGACATAATGTGTATAATGTCCAATACCTAAGTCTAACCGTTTTTGACATTAAATATTAAATTTTTAAATACAATTTTTATATTTTAACAGTAAAGTAATACATATTTTCCTAAAGCAAGGAAAATTAAATAATGGCGAGTATATTGAAAATATTCCCAAAGATGTGATATTATTTTGAGTTCTTATTTCTTCTACTGATAAGATAGGCTAGGAAAAAGGATACCGAAATCTGGTTTTCACTGGCGTGTTAGACTCTAATTTGGCTATCTATTGTTGCAATAAAAGTCACATAGCATTTAATTTTTTTGCGAAAATAAATTTTATTTATATTCATGTCGCAAAGCGCCCTCTAGCGGCGATACAAATAATCTAATTCAATTGGCTCTGGGCAGCGTTGATAGCCTGAAACAACAACAAAGTGGGTTCAGCCATTTTAAAATTATGGATATTTATTTATAACCCATTACCACATTCTCTTAAGAGACATAGCAAATAGGGTTTAACCAAAAAAAAATCAAATTGATCTCAGTTTTACAATGGTTTCCACTTCATCTGTTATATGTTTTCTATTGCCGGCTTTAGTTATAAGATTTTTCAATCCAAGTCTTTCTGACAATTTTCAGATATTGCCCTGCTGGCTACTTGGTGAGTCATAAGCACTAAAAGTGGGACACCCTCTGATAGACCTCATAATTTTTTTGCTATTCTGGAAATGATGGAAATAAAAAGATCTGTCAGATACCCTTCCACTTTCAATGCTCACAACTATAGCTTCATTATTGGATTGTAACTTAAAAACCTTATTTGATACCTGCTTAGTTGTTCATACCGAACGGTGAACACATTTTTAAGCAAAGTATTCATCGGAAGTTAAAAATTAAAAAAAAAAATACAAATATGTACCTACCACTAAGAGCAGTTTCATTGATCTCCTTTCCCACCCAAGGTTCGACACTAATGGCATCATTAGAATTGTGAATTGATGAAGAACACAAATTAAAACTAGTTTGTATATTTAGAAGATCTTTTCTTGTTGTAAGGTGTATCCTTTTGGGAGTATCATCAGTAATTGAGTCTCGGATCTCATCCAATATAGCATCAAATGGAATGTTAAGGGCAATCTTGGAAGCAATGTTTTTTCTTTCCATTTCTGTTAAATGTAAGTGACCTTAAATTTAAAAAAAATCATATACGAAGTTTCTAAACTCATACAATACAATACTCATACAAGTGTATGATTGTTTCAATTTTGGTATAATATATGAGAAAAGGGAAATTGGTACTTACCAATATCAAGTTTATGTCCAACATGGGTTTCCAGATATTTGACACTTAACTGGTGATCATTTTCAATAAATACTTGTATGTTAGCTGGGCAGTAAGCATTAATTTTGCTGGAGCCCTGTGTCTTGAGGTGACGTTTTCCTTTTCCTTCTGGGATAAATGTTCCCGAACGATGGCAATTATACTGAATGAATGTGTGCAATTTAGATACTGTTGTGCTTTTTTTAATAAATTTGGAATATGTTTTGTTTTCCATTTGCGCTAAAAATTTGGTGAGTTTGGTGTCACTAATAACAAAACATTTTAAAGAGACCGATCAAGCATTGGGTACTTACTTTTCCATTGGTTGAACTCATCCATTGTAGAAAACATCAACTGATGCCATTTCAAGCGAATTTCATGTACGCTTTCGTAATGTATAATTAGATTTTTTTTAATAATATCCCTATAATCACACAAGGCACATTTTTTAGTCACTCTTGTGATTTTGACTAGAGTTTCATGATGCATTGTTTTGATATGTCTATTTAAACTATTTTTGCGTAAAAACACCTTGTCACATAACTTGCAGCCAATATTATCCGAATCAGGGGAACATTTTTTATATCGTAAAGGCGCCAATTTTGTTACCTCCTTTGGGTGGAATTTCCTCGCGTGCTTTCTTAAGTTAGATAGTTTACTGAAAAATGTTTGACATTCGGAACACTCGAATTTCATTTTACACATTATTAATTACTTAAAAACCTTATTAAAAACGAAATATAAAAATAAAAACAAAGTGAAAATGAAATAAGCAAGGTTAAGTTCTTATTATTTAAGTTCCGACGGGACGCGCCGTAACTGACAGGCTTCCAAAAACAGGTGTCCGTGATTACTACACATGATTTCACTTATTGGCCTAGTAGTCAAGATGTTTCAAAAGAAAAAAATTATTTAAAAATATGATAGTAATACGAAATTTTTCGTTATTCGCGTCTTTGAGTAAATCGTTAATTTTCGTATGACATTTGCGGTTTAGCGATTTAAAAATTGCCAATAGAAATATCCAAGTGTATGAATTTTAACTATTTTATTTTAAGTTAGCTGAAATTGCTATATTAAAAAAGACGAAAAATTGGGGTGTAAGCGGTCTATGATGATAGGGCGAGAGAAAGAAGGGTGAGGTTAATTAAAATGTTGATTGAGCGAACAGCCATCCACATGCATGCTTATTTATGCAATATAATTATTATTCTACTCTGCGTTCACGAGAGTTTTGCAGTTCTATTATCATTCCACAACCGATATTGTTAGCTCATGGGAGAAACCAACACTATTCTGTGACTGTGCTTGTACATGAATCCTAAAGCAATAATACGGCTTTTGATGAGGAACTTATAACCATTCGTATTGATGCATCTTCTCATGCCTGGATAATAATAAAACCGTTGTTGAGCGAATGATTTCTATAAATATTGCTTACAAGTTAGGTAAATTCTACGTCAGTTGTCATTATCAGTGTTATATGCCAAATATGTATCCATGATGTATCAAAACAATGTATTTGTTTCAAATCTAATAAATTTTATATTTTTGAAAAAGTTGTGAATAAATGAAAAAATGGGTATTATATTTGGAAAGAAAAAACCTCCAAGTAGGGTTACATCTCATGATAAAGCTGTGTTGGTAACAATAATTTATTGACTTGAATCTATTGGGATTCCTTACAAAATTGTTTTAGCAATTGAAACAACAAAGAGATAAACTTAAACAATATCAGCGACGGATAGAACTTACATTAGCATCGGATAGGGAATTAGCGAGAAAGTTATTAGCAAAAGGACAAAGAGAGTAAGTACACTTTGACCACCCAACTTTTAGACATTTGCTTTTTCGTGTTTTAGTCGAGCAAAGTTGTTGTTAAGAAAAAAACGTTACCAAGAACAGTTATTGGTAAAAACCGATGGTCAATTAGAAAATGTTGAGAAATTAACACATGATATTGAGTTTGCACAAGTTGAATTGCAAGTAGTTGAAGGCTTAAAACAAGGAAACGAAGCCTTGAAAAAAGTTAATGAAGCTCTTAATATTGCTGATATAGAAGCAATTTTGGAAGAAACCAAGGAAGCTAAAGATAAACAAGACGTGAGTTAATGCTCTTAAAATCAAGACTTCAATCTTATTTGCTGTCAATTTTTAGGAAATATCAAGCTTATTAAGTGGTGTGTTAACACAAGAAGATGAAGAGGCAGTTGAAGATGAACTGGCACAAATTCTAAAAGAAGAAATGCCAGATGTTCCTTCAGAAGAACCAATTGATGCTGAAGATGACGGATGGGTGATTAAGGATCAATTAATCAGTAAAGGTAAAATAATTACTAAATAAAGTTAATAATTTATTTTGAGATTGTTAACATATTTTTCCTTGTTATGATGATTCATTGTGTGTTCCAATTTGTAATGATTTCCTTCCATATTTTTAATAGCATTGGAGAGATTGTGGTGTAATATGTTTAATTTCAGAAAAAAACACAGAGAAGCCCAAACAAAAGGAGGCAGTTGCTATGGAAGCTTAAACCATAAAAATATTGTGTTTTAATATACCAAATTTGTTTAAAAATAATTTAATACTTAAATTTTGTATATTAGTAAATCAAAGCAATCAACCAATAGTTTTTCATTCATCCAACCCCAATTCCGCAGCTTCTTCTGGCGTTAATTCAGTAGATGGTGCTGAACTTTTAACGTTGGCAAGATTTTCTGATTTCAAATTGTCACGATTTAAAGCATATTCTTCAATGTCCAAATCATCGTCCTCTCCGTTGAATGCACCATCTCGAATTTTTTTGCCATATCCCTTATGTTTTATCTGTTGATCTGGGGGAGTGGATAAATCTCCATCGTAGTTTATAGTATCGCTTTGGGCAATTCTCCATTCGAGCATATCTGATGTAAAATCGTCTCTATTACCCAACTGAGTAAAACCAATTATTTTGTCAACCATTACAGTATTTTTAATTAAAACAATGGTTGGAATTGTCTTAATTTTAAGCCTCTCGGCCAAGAATGGACACTTTTCTGCATTTAGTTTAGTAAAACGAGCCTCAATGTGTTTGGAGGCTAAAATTTGAAGATGTTTGTCAACTATTCTACATCTTTCAGATGAATCTCTGTAAAAGTGCAACACTATATTTTCGGATCTTTTTATGACATCAAAAAAAGATTTTTCTTCAGACAATTCCTCATATTTTCCATGTTCATTCTGAAGCCATTCCTTTTTTTTTTCTTCTAGTTTCTGAAACTCCTTGATACGATTTTTGCGCAGCTCTTCAAGATCATTTACATCCAGACTGTCTATTTTTTCAATAGCCGCGTCTACTTGCTTTTCAATAACTTTAGTGACCTTAAGCAGCTGATCTTCCATGTTGTATTATTGTAGTAGCGCAGGAATGCTTGACAAGGATTTCGTCTTCAGTCAGTAGAGATTGTCACCGGGGTTAAAAATTATTTTTCACACGTTTGAAAGGCACAATTCGTTAACCACTAAGAAATGTTTGCATATATTTGAAAAAATGGAGTTTCAAATTTCATGTGCAATAAAATTAAAGTAACAACACATACAATTCAATTCAATTATGCGTTTCACAAAAAAATGTTGGGCACGACTGCTAGGATCATTCGCCCATTGCCGACTTCCGTCGAGGATTTTCGCTTCTGGTCAATGACCACCACGTACAAAGAAGAAAAATAACCAATAATTTGTTCAGCTAGCAAAAAACGATTCTGACCTATACCAAAAAAAGCGGCTTCCCCCGCTTCCACCCCGGCCATCCGGCCTCCATACCGGCGTGAACAGGGAAAAACGAGGGGGCCGACGACAATTATAACTTAAAAACATGCACTGAACACTAAACACACTAAGTCCGCACAGTGGAAACCGATATCAAACTTTTGAGGACGAATACAAGGGATTCTGTCGGGAGCGAACGGAGGTTAAACCGCCGCGTGCAATGCTCCACCACAGAATCCAACAACACATACAATTTCAATTCAATTCAATTTTGCGTTTCACAAAAAATGTTGGGCTGGACTGCTAGGATCATTCGCCCATTGCCGACTTCCGTCGAGGATTTTCGTTTCTGGTCAATGACCACCACGTACAAAGAAGAAAAATAACCAATAATTTGCTCAGCTAGCAAAAAACGATTCTGACCGATACCAAAAAAATCGGCTTCCCCCCGCTTCCACCGCGGACCATCTGGGCCCGTTCGGCCTCCATACCGGCGGGAACAGGGAAAAACGACGATTATCACTTTAAAACATACACTAAACACTCAAAACACCAAATCCACACCGTGGAAACCGATATCAAACTTTTTGGGACGAATACAAGGGATTCTGTCGGGAGCGAACGGAGGTTAAACCTCGGCGTGCAATGCTCCACCACAGAATCAAATTCAATTCAATTATGCGTTTCACAAAAAATGTTGGGCTCGACTGCTAGGATCATTCGCCCATTGCCGACTTCCGTCGAGGATTTTCGCTTCTGGTCAATGACCACCACGTACAAAGAAGAAAAATAACCAATAATTTGCTCAGCTAGCAAAAAACGATTCTGACCGATACCAAAAAAATCGGCTTCCCCCTGCTTCCACCGCGGACCATCCGGGCCCGTTCGGCCTCCATACCGGCGGGAACAGGGAAAAACGACGGGGCCGACGACGATTATCAATTTAAAACATACACTAAACACTCAAAACACCAAATCCACACCGTGGAAACCGATATCAAACTTTTTGGGACGAATACAAGGGATTCTGTCGGGAGCGAACGGAGTTTAAACCTCGGCGTGCAATGCTCCACCACAGAATCAAATTCAATTCAATTATGCGTTTCACAAAAAATGTTGGGCTCGACTGCTAGGATCATTCGCCCATTGCCGACTTCCGTCGAGGATTTTCGCTTCTGGTCAATGACCACCACGTACAAAGAAGAAAAATAACCAATAATTTGCTCAGCTAGCAAAAAACGATTCTGACCGATACCAAAAAAATCGGCTTCCCCCCCCTTCCACCGCGGACCATCCGGGCCCATCCGGCCTCCATTCCGGCGTGACCGGGGAAAAACGACGGGGCCGACGACGATTATCACTTTAAGACGTACACTGAAAACTCAAAACACTAAATCCACATCGTGGAAACCGATATCAAACTTTTTGGGACGTGCATACATCTTGTATGATACATGTATATAAATCTAGTCGCACTAAGATTCAGATATTTATGCGCTAGCTTTTGTGGAATGCTCGTAATAAGAACTCCATGTAATCGAATTTCCCATCACTATTTGTTCGGATTTTTTTATTCTTTCCAATCCGAAGTTAATATGGATTGGCATGAACGTTAACCTAAAATTTCTTAAAATCATATCTATTCCAAGATGCATTACAAATTGCGTTCTAATATCAATTAGTTTAATACTTCCCGTCAGAGTTCTGTACTATACGTCAGGCAAAGAGTTGTGTCAATCGCGATTGATTCGGTCACTTTGATTCAATCACTTGATAGGATCGAATGACCGAATCCCGCTTGTTCGTAATGATTTGTTCAATTTGTTCGCTCTCCTTGCCGTCCTGACCGGTCTGAGTGACGGAATACAAGACAGGAATTCGATTTATTTGAATGGTTTAAGATTTAAATGCATGACTGAGACAGGCCACGGAAAAGGAATGGGAGTATTGTAATAATTCTAAAGTATTCAGTTGCGACATCGATTGGTAGATTTACTATTGTGTTTAAATGAATATTGAATGAAATATGTATTTCCACACAGGTATTTAATTTAATTAAATTAATGTATTACTGGTACAGTCAATACGTAGCACCTACTTTGATAAAATCATGATGCAATAAAAAGCAGAACGTAGATATACTAACTAAAACAGCAAGCAGAACATATAGGAATAATAATTCAAATTTAAAATCTGAATAGTCGTTCGGACTGTTCGGATTCAGTGACTGTTGCGGCTTATGTTTGCAACAAAAATTGAAATGCGAAATCAGCCGCTGATTGATTAATTCGGTCCTCGTAAAACGAACAGTTTACACCACTAATCATTAAAATACTTATAAAACCTACGTCAACCCAAATTTCAACATTAATGAACCACAAAGACGCAATAATACAAACAAATCCACGAAAAAATAATTTTTAATTAAATTCCACGGCTGACCAAATTCCGAAAGCAGCTCAACTCAGGAAGCGACGAATTTCAGCTAACCTTCAGAGCATCGGATCTAGTCCGTGATCGTTCAGAATCATCAACCGTGGGGTCCAATCTCTAATGGACGAATATGCAATCTATTTATAGCACATATATTGAGCGCAAAACGTTTAGAGTCGGTGAGATATACTTGTTGTAGGCCAACGATTGATAAATCGTTTTGCTTTCTTTTCCAATTTGCTGTTTTCCAAAAATGAAGTTGTTCTGGCTTTTTAGCACTAGATGGCACGCGTTGTATTTTAAAAGCTCCATTGAAATGAAGAATTGGTTGATGTTATTGACAATTATTTAATATAAAATAAATTATTTATACACAAAATTTTGGGAGTTCTTGAACGGTTTTGAAGAGTCTTCAAAAATAACAAGATTGCTTTCGAAAAATCGTCACACAAGTTCGTAGCGCGTAGCGCGCCCCGTATAACTGACGAAACCTGAAACTCTCTCACGACACGCTTTACGATACTGTTCAAATAAAATTATCCCATCTTTAACGGTTTTTCATTTGTGGCCAATAATTTACCAACAAAAACGGAACTTTTTAGAATATTTTAAATCTTTTGCGCATAAAAACCCTGTATATGAGACAATCATTGTTCGAAGTAGGGGTTATAGCTCTGGATTTTCTACGCTTCCTGATTCAAGATTTTTTTGAAAATAGTAAATGGTTTTCGAGAAAATAGGTTTTTTCTGAAACCATGCAGTGCGTCGTAATAATCAATGACGTAATCGCGTCTAGACAGTGCCCGAAATAACGATTTCAATATGAATTTTTTCAGCGTATGTGATAGACGAAAACTGCAAATACAAAAATTGCAGGTCTGTGAGATCTGAATCATAGTCTCTCAGTTATAACCAATTTTCAATTTTCAAAGTTTATAGAGCCGTATCTTCTGCGTCTTCTGGTCAAGAACTTTTTTGGACTCGTAAACGGTTTTTGAAAAATTATGTTTTTTGTAGACCCTTGCACAAGCAATTTTTTACGAGTCACGAAAAATGACTTGACTCATTTTGCAATAAACTTAAAACTGGGGAAAAATATACGGCGTTGCGTCAAGGTAAATCTATAATTACATAATACATAACGTTTTTCTAAAGGTAGATAAGGATTGATTACTGGCGTTTCGAACTTCCATTGATAACTGCTAGTGATACTTCCTAGCCGAAACATCGTGTTAAAAAACTTTGTAGACAATGGAAGTTAAAAACGCCAGTGTTGACCACATAATAATCCATAATTTAAGTCACGCGGCACCTTAAAATGACCAAGTCAACTCATTCTTTTTCTTAATGCTTTGTTTTGAATTCAAGTCAGCTATTTGGTCATTTGTGCCTTTAGACAATTACATAGCTACACAAAATCTCGGGTCCCAATGGAACCGTGAACATTTCAATAAAAAGCGACGGTTTTCATGAAAAATGTCTATGAATGTGAGCTGGCCGAATGAACTTATGTAGTTGTGGCCATTAGAAGTAAAGGAAGAAGTACTACTTCACTTTTTGGCCAAATTGCCTGTGTTGTTGGACGAAATAAACCATTGAAAAAATCCTCACTTTAATTTTTTATTGTTTATATTGCCTTTTTTCAGTTGGAGCAGGATATGGAAAACCATATGGAATGGAAATTGACACTTATTACTACTTATAATTACAAACCTTTTCGCTTTAAGTTCACGTTGCTCAGCAGACGTAAACAATTCTTTCTTGGTGAACAAATCAGCCCAATGGTCACGAAGGCACAAAGAATAAAATCAGACACAAACCATAGACCATATAAAATGTATGGCGACAATGCATTGCTTGTCGCACGTACCTCCTGTTGTTTAACTGAAGGGCGCGAACGAGCTTTCTAGGATTAATTACAAAATAAACATATTTTTGTTTTCAGGAGAAAGATTCTGACTTGACTAAATATTTAAAAATAAACCAAAAAACATTGCGCTAGGTTTTATAAGTTGTCTGATTAAAAACATCTAACATTGGTATTAACATATTTTTTCATTGTTTAACAAACTATAATTAAGGAAAGTAAATGAAATTAAATGAACTTTTGAACCTAGTCCACTATAGATATAGATATACTTTGCCTTTTTTTGCTCTAATTTTACAGGTAATATTGAAAATATGACTTATCAATTTTGTACTTGGAGATGAATTAAAACTCGATATATTGTACCTGTGCATTATTCTAGGTTATCTTATACGTATATTAAAACACAGTAATTTTGTATTCAAATTACATATCGAGAATCAAATTATCAATTAATTAATTTCGTCATGATAATTGTTACCACATAAATGCTAACAAAAATGCTGAGTTAAATTAAAAATAAAGCCAATGAGTAAGCTAATTATTTATAATGCATACATACACTTAATATTATT